TGTGTGTGTGTGTGTGTGTGTGTGTGTGTGTGTGTGTGTGTGTGTTTTAATTTGGAAACAAACATTCCAGATGTTTGATCTGGTATTCCAGATCTATGATCTAGTGTAATGAGTGTCTTTGATACCAAATTTTCCCAATGTTTTTTAACATGATGGAATAGAGGGCTTTAAAAAGAATATACCTTCTTTACATGAATTCAAAAGTCCCATGATTAAGACCCATCTCACTTTTAAAAAGTGGGGGGAGCGCCTGGGTAGCTCAGTCGGTTGAGCGTCTGCCTCTTGAACTCAGCAAAGCTCTTGATTTTAGGGTCATGAGTTCAAGCCCATGTTGGGCTCCATGTTGGGCTCCATGCTGGGCATGGAGCAGTGGGGGTGTTTTCCTCACTTTATGCGGAAGATGCACCAAATAAGGTTGAAGGCGATTCCTGGTCACAGCCTGCCTAACCTCGCCCTCACTCTCATTCTCGCAGCCCTTTGGGCCAAATGCAAAGAGGCTGTGACATGAGCAGAGCCCAAAGCAGCCCCCAAGGCCCCAACATGGCAGCTGGGAAGGAGATTTAAATAAAAGAATGCAATTAAAATACTTAGCACTGTGCCCAACACATTGTTGGTAGCTGTCATTAGTGTACTTGAAAATCAATTCTGTGTGTATGATAGATCCTTTTCCAGAATGTGATCAGAGCAGAGTCTAGGGAGATCGAGAAACCTATCCATGGTTTATTAAATCAAGAAAATTAGCCTCCTTGAGGTCTAGAGTTCCTAAATCTGGTCCTTTAAAAAGGTCTTCATTTTGGGGGGCACCTGCGTGGCTCAGTCGGTTAAGCCTCCCACTTTGGTTCAGGTCATGATCTCATGGTTTGTAGGTTCGAGCCCTGCGTCAGGTTCTGTGCTGACAGCTCAGAGCCTGGAGTCTGCTTCAGATTCTGTGTCTCCCTCTCTCTCTGCCTGTCCCCTGCTCGTGCTCTCTGTCTCTCAAAAATTAAAACAAAATTTTTAAAAAAGTCTTCATTTTTTATGGGTTTATTTATTTTTGAGAGAGAGAGAATGTGCACATGCAATAAGGGTAGGTAGGGGCAGAGAGGGAGGGGACAAAGGATCCAAGACAGGCTCTGCACGGACAGCAGAGAGCCCAATGCAGGGCTTGAACTCATGAACCATGAGATCATGACCTGAGCCGAAGTTGGATGCTTCATCAACTGAGTAACCCAGATGCCCCAAAAGGTCTTAATTTTAAATAAATAGTATCCAGGCTGCCCTTTCATATTTTCATGTAACCCACCCAAGATTTTCTTTGCTATCTTCTCAAGCTGAGAACTAGGCCAGGCCCTAAGTTTGCCAAACATGGCCTAATAGATAAAGCCAGTTAAAAAAAAATCTCTAATGATCTTAAAACAATAAATATTAATTCAAAATATAAAAATTTAAGAGGAGTAAAAAGAAGCACAAAAGATAAATGAAAAACTAGAAAATAATAAATATCACGTATGATTTTTTAAACCCTTTTTAAAAGTTTTAACTCCAGTGTGGTTAACATACAGTGTTGTATTAGTTTCAGATGTACAATATAGTGATTCAACACTTCCGTACATCACCTGGTGCTCATCATGACAAGTGCCCTCTTTAACCCCTGTCACCTATTTCATCCAACCCCCCACCCACTCCCTTGGTAACCATCAGTGTGTTCTCTGTAATTAAGAGGTTACTTTTTGGTTTATCTCTCTCTCTCTCTTTTTCCCCTTTTGTTTTGTTTCTGTTTTTTTCTTTTTTTGAAGATTTATTTATTTTGAATGAGAGAGAGTGAGTGAGCAGGGGAGGGGCAGAGAGAGAGAATCCCGAGCAGGCTCCTCCCTGATGTAGGGCTCTATTTCATTTACCGTGAAATCATGACCCTGAGCTGAAATCAAGAGTTGGACCCTTAACCAACTGTGCCACCCAGGTGCCCCCCTGTTTGTTTTGTTTCTTAAATTCCACATGTGAGTGAAATCATATGGTATTTGTCTTTCTGTGACTGACTTAGCATAATAATCTCTAGGTCCATTCATGTCATTGCAAATGGGAAGATCTCATTCTTCTTTATGGCTGAGTAATGTTCCATCACTTATTACATATATGTATACATATATATGTATATATATACCACATCTTCTTTTTAAAATTAAAATTTTTTTAATGTTTATTTTTGAGACAGAGAGAGACAGAGCATGAAGGGGGGAGGGTCAGAGAGAGAGGGAGACACAGAATCCAAAGTAGGCCCCAGGCTCCAAGCTGTCAGCACAGAGCTTGATGCAAGGCTTGAACTCACGAACTATGAGATCATGACCTGAGCTGAAGTCGGATGCTTAACTGACTGAGCCACCCAGGCACCCCCACCACATCTTCTTTATCCATTCATCTATCAGTGGATACTCGGGCTGCTTTCATAATTTGGCCATGGCAAATAATGCTACAATAATCATAGGGGTGCATATATTCTTTCAAATTAGTGTTTTAATGTTCTTTGGGTAAATAGCCAGTAGTGTGATTGCTGGATCATAGGTAGTTCTATTTTTAACTTTTTGAGGAACTTCCGTACTGTTTTCCATAGTGGCTGCACCAATTTGCATTCCCACCAACAATGCACAAGGTTTCCTTTTTTTCCACATCCTCGCCAACATTTGTTGTTTCTTGTGTTGTTGAGTTTAACCATTCTGACAGGTATGAGATGATATTCCATTGTAGTTTTGGTTTGTATTTCCCTGATGATAAGTGATGTTGAGCATCTTGTCATGTGTCTGATGGCCATCTGGATGTATTCTTTGGAGAAATGCCTGTTCATGTCTCCTGCCCGTTTTATAATTGGATTATTTGTTAAAATAAAGTATGATATTTTATTATCCATTTATTTATTTTTATAAAGTAGGATTTTAAAAGGAAAAAACAATTTGAGTTGCACTTTTAATGAAAGATAAATCAAGAGTAGAAAATGTTAAAAAGGCAGGAAAATGTAAGGCAAGAACTCCAAAAGAATAAAAAACAGTGCAAGTTAGAACAAAGTACTAAAATAGGGAAGAGCTACAAAGTTTTAAAAACAAGGTAAAAATATATCCTCCAAAAAGATAAAGAACAGATCCATCTGGAAGTAGGCGAGTGACGTGATCTTAAGTGGGTCCTCTAAGCTGGAACAGTTTCCCAGCTCAGGGTCCTCTGTCTAGGCTGCTGAGAGTGGGCTGTCTGTTAATACTGACCACTTTTTGTGTAGTGCTCCCGAACCACTCCTCTATCCTTTACCTACTTGTTTCTGTCATTCCTCCCAAGTGCTCCAGGTCGTAGAAATTGCTATCCCCATACAGAGAAGCAAACTAAGGTTTGGATAAGTGCCTTGCTCCACTAGCCCCTTCTGATGCCAAAACCCATGTATATGCTTGATCTTTTTCACTTTCCAAGAAATATTGACATCAATACATCAACAATGTATTGTTGTCATCAACAACAGAGACAATAACAAAATCCCACACCCTTTAATCCTTCCCACTCACCATGTCAAGATTACCCATCAGATTCGGAGAGACTGACATTCTTAGCAAACAGCCCAGCAATAGTAAATGTGCAGTGGGTGCTCTGTTTACCTTAATAACCCTCTGGAGTGTTAAGGTTTTTTTTTTTTTAAGTTTATTTATTTATTTTGAGAAGAGAAAGAGACTGAGTGCATGCGCGAGCAAGGGAGCGGGCAGAGACATAGAGGGAGAGAGAGAATCCTAAGCAGGCTCAGTGCTGTCAGCACCGAACCTGACACAGGCTCCATCTCACAAACCATGAGATCATGACCTGAGCTGAAAATCAAGAGTTGGGCACTCAACTGACTGAGCCACCCAGGTGCCCATGGAGTGTTAAGTTTTTTTTTGTTTTTTTTTTTTTATCTCTTCTCCTTTCCCTCACTTTTTTTTGGGTGCAAATTTGATCCCAGTCATTCAAATATTTACCTCAGTTCAGTCTCCTAAATATCTCCTTAATGTGAACACTTTTCTCCTTTTTCACTGCCACTGCTAAGTTCAGGCCGCCATCTTGCCATTCTTTGTATTAATTTCCCATGACTCCTGTAACAAACTACCACATATCAGGTGGCTTAAAACAGCAGAAACTTGTTCTCTCCAGCTGTAGAGAATATCAGCGTTATTGTGCCGAAATCCTGGTGTGTCAGCAGGGCCCCACTGCCCTCCAGAGGCTCTACGGGATGATCCACTTCTCACCTCCTCCAGCTTCTGTTGGCTGCTGGCATTTCTTAGCTTGTGTCCCATCACTCCAGTCTCTGCCTCTGTGGTCACACGGCCTCCTCCTCCGTGTGTGTCAAATCTCTTTCTCTTACAAATATATGTGTTTGCATTTGGGGCCTACCCAGATAATTTGGGGCAAACTCCCCATCTCAAGATTCTTAATTTAATCACAATTGCGAAGATCCCTTTTTGCCATGTTAGGTGACATTCACAGGTCCCAGGGATTAGGGTGTGACTGTCTTTTGGGGGGCCATTTTTCAGTCTGCCACACCCCAAGACTTTTGCAACCATCTCTGCCTTCTGTCCTCTACTGGGACCCCAAGTTCCTTTAAACACACAGATCAAATCATGTCATTCCCTTGAAACTCTTCAGCGGCCACTTGGCTCTTGGCAGGGTTCTGACACTCTGCTGAGTAAGTGCGCCTTTTTGTGTATTCCATCAGAGCTCTTACCTCGATAGGGACAGTCTCCCTATCACGTATCCACCTTGTACGTGGGATGTTTTTCCTGTGACACACAGTAGGTGCTTAATAAATATGTGTTGAGCCTCTACATCCACCTTGCCAAGAATAATACTCTAACAGAAAGCACTAATCCACCCAGAAGAGTTTTTGCTGGAGAGGATCATATATGTGAATGCCAAAAGTTCCCACGGATCTTTATTTTTAAGCAGAAACCAAGTATTATGTAATTAAGGGATCAAAGAAAACATTTTCATGCTTATTACATTATTCTGTTTTCTTTCAGGCCATTCCTGTGTTTCTTACTTTGCATAATGTAGCTGAAGTTATCATCTGTGGGCACCAGAAGTGTTTTCGGAAAGAGGTAAATGATAATGCAAAATGCTAGTCTCGCTTCCCTTGCTTTAAATTTCAGAGATGAACTTTTTTTTTTTAATGGCCCAAATTAGTGTCTACCTTTTCCTGCCATCTGTTTCCTGTCAGTGGTCAAGACTGCCTGGCAGTCATCACTAATTTCAAGCATCGTGTATTTGACATCTCTTCAGTTCACTGTGCATGTGTGGGAATGCTTGATCTGAATGGCACTCAGCTGCAGGTCTAGGCAGAGCAAGCACCTTGGGATATGAGGAGGAATTTACTATGGGCCGAGGAATGGGGGCGGGGGTCCTTATTCCCACCCACAATGAACCCCAGGGGCCATAGGGAAACATATCGCAGAGATTCACATAGGGTGTTGGGAGCATTACCCCCCCCCCCCCCCCCGGGGGAAATCCCCGTTCTTCCCAAGCCCAGCTCTGCCTCACACCAGCTCGAGCAAGTGTCTTTGCTTTCTGTGCCTCCACTGGGGAAAAGGGGACACTAACGACCCCTGGCTCATACAGTTGTTGGGAGGACGCAGCGAGGCACATGTGTTAAGTACTTCTGAAAGTTTCTGGCACCTAGTAGGTATTTATTAACGTTATTAGTGGCAGTTTTAATTTGGTCCTCTTTTGGGAGCTCTTTTTTCTAACATCTGCCCATTTGAGATGGTTTCATATAAAAATGTGGAACTTTCCAACCAGAGAGGCTAGTTGGCCATTCAGGCAGCTCACTTCTTACAGGTGTGTGGGAGAGAGAGGCATCCTTCCCGTGGCCAAGGCCACTCCATACACCTGTGCACCCTGTCATTCCCATCTGCTGCTTGTGGGCAGCTCCATGGACTACCTCCTTATCCTGGATAACTGACCTCTCTCTATCTCTGCTGGCTGACTTTCCTCAGCCAGTGGACACACTCAGTGCTCTCAGTCCACCAAGGATGGAGTGGGCCCTGGGAGCACCACCAACACTAACCCAGCTCTGAAAGGCAGTGTTTCTAAAACCAACATTGGATGCCAACGCCGGTGTGCTCTCTTGCCTGTGCACCCCTCTGCCTCCGCCCCACCGCGTCCTTGCCCTCCCCCAGCACAGTGTGTGAGGGAGGGAGGGTCAGGTTCAGAGCTGTTCATGGCCTCGTGCCCCTCTCACCCCCAACCTGCTCCTGCTTCTGCCCCCACCATTCCCCTGGAGTTGCTCAGGCTGAAGTCACCGATGGCTGCGTTTATGCGACTTACGTTGGCCTTGTACACCATTCATCAGGTTCACTGCTGCCTTTCCTTGAGTCTCTTGGCCCCCTTGACCTGCTGGTTCTCTTCCCCGGTCTCTGGCTCTTCCTTCTCCCTTTCTTTCGTCTGCCCTTCAGGGTCTCCCAGGGCTCTGTGTCAGGAGCCCTTTGTTCCCATGCACACTCTTTCTGGATAGTCTCACCCACACCCATGGCAGCGCCCCCGCTCCGTTCACTGTGACTCCTGTGTCCCATCTCCAGCCCAGGCCTCTCTCTTGAGCTCAGATCCCCACGGCCTGCTGCCTCTAGCTGTCTGCCCAGCTGTTTCCTGGGCATCTGAAATGCAAAGGGACCAAACCGGAACTGCTGTTTTCCTAACCTGCTTCCTACTTGGCGATCCCATGATCCTGATCATCACCACCCAAGTCAGAAATATAGGGGTTCTTAGAGTCCTGGTTTGGTCGTCTTCCCCCCACGCCTCCACCACACCCTGTTTCTGAATCTGTCCCCTCCTCTCCATTCCCACTGCTGCTGTCACCTTGGTCAGATGCTCATCTGTTTTTCAGGGCTATCTGGCAAGGGGCCAAATGACATCTTGCTCTCCCAAGCCCTTGGGCAGCCAAGTAGGGCCTGGGGTGAGCAGACCTGGCTTGGACCGTCTTTGCGTTGTGTGTGTGCTGTCGCCTGCCATCACCTGCCATCGCCTGCCAGGTGTGCAGTAGTGCCTGGCTGCCTTCCCTGCCTCTGCCTCTGCCTCTCCCCCTGCCTCTCCCCCTCACCTTCCTCCACACTGCACGCAAGTGACCTTCTGATACAGATCCGATCACGTCCCCATGTACTTGGGGACTACGCATGACCTACACAGAGGCATGTAAAGCTTGTCACCACCAGGATACCATCTACCTCTAGGGTTTTAGAAAATCCAGCCACAACCAAACTTCTCATGTTTCCTAGACCATGTCGTGATGTTTTCTTTCTGGTGATCTGTCAGAGAACCTCTTCAACACCATCTCATTTATTCTAAATACGTGCCTACTGTGCCAGGCTCTGAGTCTATAGTAGTGAGGAAGAGGCATGGCCCTACCATTCTGGGCTCCTCGTACGGAGCATCAACCGAGAAGGGAAGACGCTAGACAAATCATTACACCCACCTGCTGGATTGTATGGCCCGAGAGGCCACTCTAGGGAAGTGACATTTAAACACAGACAAAGGCTGAACAGGAGTTCAACAGGTGGGGCAAGGGGAGGGCTCCCAGGAAGAGGAGCCATCTGATGCAAAAGGCCAGATGTAGGAAGGGATTTGGCCAGTGAGGCTGGAGCTTGACAAGAAAGAGAGGGTGGCTTAGGATGAGACTGGAGACAGGACAAGACTTTGAGGCTGGGCTAGGAATGTGGGGTTTATGCTGAGCTCAGTGAACGGCGAGGGTTGGGTGTGAAAGGCCCGAGGGACCGATCAGATTTACAGCGTTGAAAGCTCATCCAGCTGTCTATGGAGGAGAAAGGACTGCAGGAGGTGAGAGGGGACCCTGTGGTGACTCTCGAGGTCTCACGAGGGAGGCTCTCAGTATCTTAGGCTGGTCTGCATGCAGTTGGAGCCTTCCCTGACACCTCAAGGAGCGTGAGCACCTCTCTCTGACTTTATACCTCTCACACCATCTGGCAATTTCCATATTTCATCGATTACATGCTGCTTTTTTTTCACGTTAAAAAAATACTACTGGAGCACCTGGGTGGCTCAGTCAGTTAAGTGTCCGACTCTTGATGTCAGCTCAGGTCATGATCTCACGGTTCATGAGTTTGAGCCTGGCATCGGGTTCTGTGCTGACATTGTGGAGCCTGCTTGGGATTCTCTCTCTCTCTCTCTCTCTCCTCCCCCCCCCCCCCCCCCCATCCCCTGCTTGCACCTTCTCTCTCAAAATAAATAAACTTTTAAAAAAGTATTCACTACCTATAGTTGGGACGCTTTTACTATCAATGGCCTGCCATGGTCAAATGCTTTCTTTCTTGATAGTGTATAAAAGAATGGGGAATTTTACAATCAGTGGCATCTGAGGTTCAATGAAACGCAGTAGGAGTTTCCCTGGGTCTCTGCCTGCTTTCTCAGAGCCCCTCTTGGCAGGGACCACGTGTTCTCTGCAAAGCCCCGAAGTCCAGCCCCAGAATTGCCAAGCTGAATATTCACTAGCCAGTCACTGAGGTCGAGAAACTCACCAAGAGTTGCTCAGGTTCTGGGAGACTGACTCATGCTTCTTATCTTCAAAGTGGACACCTTTGTTGTGAATTGAAAATGAAGATTCATCTGGTCTAGGGAAGAGATCCAGGCATTTCTACAAGGTATTTCTTCCTGGTGGACAAGTCTGATCACATAGTCAAGGCTGCGCGTAAGAAACAGGGTTAGAGAGTCCTCAGGGGTATCTCCATCAGGCAAAAACCAGGGGCCAGACTTCCAAGCTGAGAGGAAGAAACTGGATAAACGCCAAAATATTTTGAATCTTCATCTCCATTTCATCACTAACACTAAACAGCATTGTTTCTTTTTTAAAAAAATTTAATTCCAGTATAGTTAACATACAGTGTTACATTAGTTTCAGGTGTACAATACAGTGATTCAACAATTCCATACATACATCACCCGGTGCTCATCACAAGTGTACTCTTAATCCCCCTCATCCATTTCACCCATTCCTCCACCCACATCCCCTCTGGTAACCATCTGTTTGTTCTCTATAGTTAAGAGTCTGTTTTTTGCTTTACCTCTTTTTTTTTTTTTTTAATGTTTGTTTGTTTTATTTCTTAACTTCCACATATGAGTGAAATCATATGGTGTTTGTCTTTCTCTGACTGACTGACTGCACTTAGATTATACCCTCTAGGTCCATCCATGTTGTTGCAAATGGACAGATTGCATTCTTTTTTATGGCTGAATAATATTTCATTGTATATGTATATGCCACATCTTCTTTAATTCTTTTTTAAAGTTTATTTATTTTCAGGGGCACCTGGGTGGCTTAGTCGGTTGAGAATCCAACTTTGGCTCAGGTCATGGTCTCATCCTTGTGAGTTTGAGCCCTGCATCGGGCTCTGTGCTGACAGCCCAGAGCCTGGAGCCTGCTTTGGATTCTGTGTCTCCCTGGCTTTCTGCCCTTACCCTGCTCATTCTCTCTCTCTCTCTCAAAATAAATAAACATTAATAAATTTTTTTAAGTTTATTTATTTTGAGACAGAGAGAACATGAATTGGGTAGGAGTAGAGAGAGAGGGAGAGAGAGAATCCCAAATAGGCTCTGCACTGTCAGCGCAGAACCCAACTTGGGGTTTGAACCCACAAACTGTGAGATCATGACCTGAGCCGAAACCAAGAGTTGGATGTTTAACCAACTGAGCCACCCAGGTGCCTCAATATGCCACATCTTCTTTATACATTCATCTGTTGGGACACTTAGGTTGCTTCTATAATTTGGCTATTGTAAATAGTGCTGCAATAAACATAGGGGTGCATATATCTTTTCAAGTTAGTGTTTTTGTATTCTTTGGGTAAATACCCACTGGTGAAATTACTGGATCATAGAATAATTCTATCTTTAACTTTTTGAGGAACCTCCGTATTGTTTTCCACAGTGGCTGCACCAGTTTGCATTCCCACCGGCAGTGCATGAGGGCTTCTTTTTCTCCACATCCTCGTCAACACTTGTTGTTTCTTGTGTTGTTGATTTTAGCCATTCTGACTAGTGTGAGCTGATATCTCATTGTAGTTTTGATTTGCATTTCCCTGATGATGAGCGATGT